CGAGGACTTTGTTTTCCATAGACCGTAATATAATACAGTTGATGGAACTCAAAGAGAAACTCGAGGTTCTAGCACTTTGCCGTGCAATGGACCAACTGCCGAGTCTGCACCCAGTGGGAGGGCAGCTCCCTACAGGGACCTTTATGTGGTTCCCCAAACCGAATGAATGCTCCCTCAGGCTCCCACATCAACAGTAAAAATGCTTTACTCCCGTCTACTTGGGAATATTAGATATTTCTTGACAGCTGAAACCCTGCCAAGTTCACCTCTAACAAGGCCCAGGACAGGTTATCCAGCTGGCTCACATAGTCAAAGCTAAGGTTTTTACAGTCGTCATGTACAGATGTGAGAGTAGGACCATAACAGAGGCTGAGCACCAAAGAACTGATGCTTTCTAATTTTGGTGCTGGAGAAGATTCTTGAGAGTCCCTTGGATTGCAAAGAGAACAAACCAGTCAATCCTAAAGGAAATCAACCCTGAACACTCATTGGAAGGACTGATGCTGAAGTTCAATACTTTGGCCACCTGATGTGAAGAGCCAGCTCATTGGAAAAGACCCTGATGGTGGGAAAGATTGAAAGCAAAAAAAGAAGGCGACAGCAGAGGATGAGATGATTGGATGGCATCACTGACTTAATGGACATGAATCTGATCACGCTGCGGGAGAGAGTAAAGCTGTCCTGGCATGCCTCGGTCCAGGGGCTACAAAGAGTCAGACACAACTTAGCGACACAACAACAGCAACAACAAAAGATGCTCTGAGATCACCTGGACCCTCTCTCCATCTCTCCATGTTCATGCCTTCCACCCTCCATGTTCCACTTTACTCCTGATTCATTTTGGTATCTCCGTACACCCTGTTACTGCTCTCTGGAAGATGCCCCTCCCCCCACCCCACCCCCACACACAATACTCTATTCCACCACTTTTCCTGTTTACAGTAAGGTGCTCATATATCTATCTTCCTGTCTCCAATTTGTGAATTCACTGATGATAGAAACTACATCAAATCTTAAATCTATTAATCTTTACCAAGGGTTAGTGGAGATCTCTGGAAGATCTGTGAAAGAACAGGAGTCAGCTAAGTGAGACTCAACCATAAAGAAGGTAGTCATATACTCTAAAGTGGGCTTCCCAGATGGCTCGGTGGGTAAAGAACCCACCTGCCAATGGCAGGAGACACAAGACACTTGGATTCGATTCCTCTGTGGGAAGATCCCATGGAGGAGGAGATGGCAACCAACTCCAATATTCTTGCCTGGAGAATCTCATGAACAGAGGAGCCTGGTGGGCTACAGTCCATGGGGTCGCAAACCATCAAACATAAATGAGCAACTAAGCATGCACACATAGTAGTTTTGAATGTAAAGCATAGTGATTCAGTACTTTTGCAGATTATACTCCACTATAACAAGCTGGAATCAAGACTGCCAGGAGAAATATCAATAACCTCAGATATGCAGATGACACCACCCTTATGGCAGAAAGCCAAGAGAAACTTAAAATCCTCTTAATGAAAGGGAAAGAAGAGAGTAAAAAAGTTGGCTTAAAGCTCAACATTCAGAAAACTAAGATCATGGCATCCGGCCCCATCACTTCATGGCAAATAGATGGGGAAACAGTGGAAACAGTGGCAGACTTTATTTTTTGGGCTCCAAAATCACTGCAGATGGTGACTGCAGCCATGAAATTAAAAGACACTTACTACTTGGAAGAAAAGTTATGACCAATTTAGACAGTAAATTAAAAAGCAGAGACACTGATTTGCCAATGATGGTCCATCTAGTTAAGGCTATGGTTTTTCCAGTAGTCATGTATGCATGTGAGAGTTGAGCTATAAAGAAAGCTGAGTTTTCCAAACTCATTTGGAAACTCAATCATTTCCATCACCAAAGAAATGATGCTTTTGAACTGTGGTGTTGGAAAAAACTCTTGGAAATCCCTTGGACTGCAAGGAGATCCAACCAATCCATCCTAAAGGAAATCAGTCCTGAATATTCATTGAAAGGACTAATGCTGAAGCTGAAACTCCAATACTTTGGCCACCTATTTTGAAGAGCTGACTCATTTGAAAAGACCCTGATGCTGGGAAAGATTGAAGGTGGGTAGAGAAGGGCATGACAGAGGATGAGATGGTTGGATGGCATCACCAACTCAATGGACGTGAGTTGGTGATGGACAGGGAGATCTAGCGTGCTGTGGTTCATGGGGTCGTAAAGAATCAGACATGACTGAGCGACTGAACTGAACTCCATTATAAGTTATGGTAATATTTACAATTCCTTGGGCTATAGAGTAGTTCCTTGCTGTTTATCTACTCTATCCACAGTGCTGTGTATCTGTTAATCCCATACCCTTAATTTACCCTCACCCTTTCCCCTTTGGTTCATAGTTCATCTGGCACTCTGTCTCTCAGATCAAGTTCCTTAAATCTATTTCTCACTTACACTGGATAATCATAAGGGATTTGATTTAGGTCATACCTGAATGGTCTACTGGTTTTCCCTACTTTCTTCAATTTAAGTCTGAAATTGGCAATAAGGAGTTCATGATCTGAGCCACAGTCAGCTCCCGGTCTTATTTTTGCTGAACTGTACAGAGCTTTTCCATCTTTGGCTACAAAGAATATAATCAGTCTGATTTTGGTGTTGACCATCTGGTGATGTCCATGTGTAGAGTCTTCTCTTGTGTTGTTGGAAGAGGGTGTTTGCTATGACCAGTGCATTCTCTTGGCAAAACTCTATTAGCCTTTGCCCTGCTTCATTCTGTACTCCAAGGCCAAATTTGCCTGTTATTCCAGGTGCTTCCTGACTTCCTACTTTTGCATTCCGGTCCCCTATAATGAGAAGGATATCTTTTTTGGGTGTTAGTTCTAAAAGGTCTTATAGGTCTTCATAGAACCCTTCAGCTTCAGCTTCCTCAGCGTTACTGGTTGGGGCATAGGCTTGGGTTACCGTGATATTGAATGGTTTGCCTTGGAAACGAACGGAGATCATTCTGTCGTTTCTGAGATTGCACCCAAGTACTGCATTTCGGACTCTCTTGTTGACTATGATGGCTACTCCATTTCTTCTAAGGGATTCCTGCCCACAGTAGTAGATATAATGGTCACCTGAGTTAAATTCATCCATTCCAGTCCATCTTAGTTTGTGGATTCCTAGAATGTCAACGTTCACTCTTTCCATCTCCTTTCTGACCACTTTCAATTTGCCTTGATTCATGGACCTAACATTCCAGGTTCCTATGCAATATTGCTCTTTACAGCATCGGATCTTGCTTCTATCACCAGTCACATCCACATCTGGGTATTGTTTTTACTTTGGCTCCATCCCTTCATTCTTTCTGGAGTTATTTCTCCACTGATCTCCATCTCCAGATTGCCGGGACAAATATCAATAACCTCAGATATGCAGATGACACCACCCTTATGGCAGAAAGTGAAGAGAAACTAAAAGGCCTCTTGATGAAAGTGAAGGAGGAGAGTGGAAAAAGTTGGCTTAAAGCTCAACATTCAGAAAACTAAGATCATGACATCTGGTCCCATCACTTCATGGGAAATAGATGGGGAAACAGTGGAAACAGTGGCTGACTTTATTTTTTTGGGCTCCAAAATCACTGCAGATGGTGATTGCAGCCATGAAATTAAAAGATGCTTACTCCTTAGAAGGAAAGTTATGACCAACCTAGATAGCATATTAAAAGGCAGAGACATTACTTTGCCAACAAAGATCCGTCTAGTCAAGGCTATGGTATTTCCAGTGGTTATGTATGGATGTGAGAGTTGGACTGAAGAACTGATGCTTTTGAACTGTAGTGTTGGAGAAGACTCTTGAGAGTCCCTTGGACTGCAAGGAGATACAACCAGTCCATCCTAAAGGAAATCAGTCCTGAATGGTCACTGGAAGGACTGATGCTGAAGCTGAAACTTTAATACTTTGGCTACCTCATGCGAAGAGTTGACTCATTGGAAAAGACCCTGATGCTGGGAAGGATTGGGGGCAGGAGGAGAAGGGGATGACAGAGGATGAGATGGCTGCATGGCATCACCGACTCGCTGGACATGAGTTTGAGTAAACTCCAGGAGTTGGTGATGGACAGGGAGGCCTGGTGTGCTGCGATTCATGGGGTCACAAAGAGTCAGACACGACTGAGCGACTGAACTGGACTTTCCCCTTTGGTAGCCACGAGTTTGTTTTCTAGTCTCAGATCACTGTATTAATACTGCTGATTTAGATTTCACTTAGATAAATGACCTGGAACAACACGGTCTAAGGCAAACCCCTAGAGTTTTGGGGAGTTCTGTTAATTCCATAAAACTATGCAAAATGCGGGCAGCGGTGTTCATGAACATATTAAGAGGAAGTGGTTAGAACTCAGACCTTCAGGAAGCCCAGGAACTCAGCTAAGAGAACATAAAGCATAAGGCCTGAAAGGCAAATACAAGCAGCCCTACAGTTGCCCCAAGGAGTAGCTGAAAATATCTTACTTCTCAAACACAGTTAAGTTTTTCATATTCAAACATTACCATCCCATTTGCTAAAAGCATCTTGGAAATTCCCTTGATGTGTGCAAGACCAGATTAACCCATGTGATGGAGTGATCACGTGATGAAAAACAGATGAAAAATGTTCTATAGAACACACTGCTTGGAAATGGAGTCTATTTTCAGCTTTTAGCTTTGTCATGAGTCTTACTTTCCCCATGGTTACACTGGCTCATTGCCCACATCCTCTGAGGATGACTGGGCGGACGGAAGAGGTTCACTTCCTCATTCTGACCACCAAGAAGGGCAAGCTATGTGACACGATTCCTTATTATTATTAATAATACTTTATGTTTCTATTTTTTAGGTGAAGGGCAAAGTCTAGTTTTGAAACACGCAGGAAGGAAAACGTAAGTCTTACTGTAGATGAGCTAAAAAGGGACCTTCGGAGCAGACACGACCCCTACCCTTGTGTCTGGGGGCAGACGTGGAGCCAAAGGCGCTGGCACACGCACGTTACGGACGCGCGTTATGCACGCTGTCCCAGGGGGGCGGCCGGGGCGAGGCCACGCGGGGCCGGAGCGCGTGCTCCGGGCAGCTGTCGTTTTCATGGCTGTCTCCTTGTCCTCCCCATGTAAAAGCAAGCAGGTAAAAACACTGTTTAATGAAACACGATTTGCTAAAAGGACACGCGAAAATGTATGCGGGGGAAAAAAATAATAAAACACGGCTTCAAAGGCAACTCAAAGTCTGAAGTCTGAGGACTAACCCCACGCTGGAGTTTTCTGTGGCGGCAGAAAAGCTGCAAGGCTGTGCTTCCTTGGAGGAGCTCCCTGGGAAGCTGCGGTCCGGACCCCCCAGACAGCCACAGGTGAGCAGTGTTCCCGCCGTGCCGGCTCTGGGCATCAATGCAGCGCCCAGCTCGCTCTGCGTCCAACCTGCTCCTCACAAAACCTACCGATGGATGAGCAATCAAAGAGGTGAAACGGAAAGATGTGGAGTCAGAGGGGTTTCCCAGGTGGCACAGTGGTGAAGGACCCGCCTGCCAACGCAGGAGACGCAGGTTTGATCCCTGGATCAGGAAGATCCCCTGGAAAAGGAAATGGCAACCCACTCCAGTATTCTTGCCTGGAGAATCCCATGGACAGAGGAGCCTGGCAGGCTACAGACCGTGGGGTCTCAAAAGAGTTGGACACAACTGAGTGACTAAGCCTGCAAGCACATGAAGTTTCATGCGCTCAGTCTGACCTGGGAGCTCTAGGTTGGCAATAATGATGAAGTGATTAATGATAAAGCCACAGCAACTGAATTGCTTTGAATCTAATCCTCAATCTATAACCAGCTAGGAGTGTGACCTCAACGAACTTCCCGAGGCTTCTATATCCTCATCAAGGAAACAAGGACACTGATGCTGTCTCATTAGGGTTTGTATGAGGATGAAATGAGATCAGTGATATAAACAGAAGAAAGCTCCACAGAGGTGGTCCTGTACACATTAGCTGTTATTACCAGTAACACTGGGGAGAGAAGACAGGTATGAAGGCGGATTCTCATAATTTATTAAGAAAATAAAACATGGATACAAATCACTGTAACACCTCACGGTAAATGGCCAGTCACCAGAGGTCCCACTGACTTGAAATCAAAAACAGGAGAAATCGCTAAACCAAGTGTTCAGTATTTCAAAGGAGGAGTGACATTTGGTCATAAAAATATGAACATAATAGGGATTCACCTGACATATGAAAAGTGTGAGTCACTCAGTCATGCCCGACTCTGTGCGACCCCATGGACTGTAGCCCGCCAGGCTCCTCTGTCCCTGGGATTCTCCGGGCAAGAATACTGGAGTGGGCTGCCATTTCCTTCTCCAGGGGATCTTCCCAACCCAGGTTCTGAACCAGGGTCTCCTGCATTGCAGGCGGATTCTTTACCATCTGAGTCACCAGGGAAGCCCTAACACACACTATAGATTACTGAGTAAAAAGCACTCAAGAATCACATATGCTCAGTTGCTAAGTCATGTCAGACCCTTTGAAAAAAAAAATCAATTGGGGGATAATTGCTTTACAATGTTGTGTGGGTTTCTGCCATACGTCAACACAAATCACCTGTAGGTATGCACATGTCCCCTCCCTCTTGAACCTCCCTCCCACATCCCTCCCCATCCCACCCCTCCAGCTTGTCACAGAGCACTAGATTTGAGCTCCCTGCATCATACAGCAAATCCCCACTGGCTATCTATTTTCCATATGGTAAGTTATATGTTTCAATGCTACTCTCTCAGGTCCTCCTCCAGGCTCCTCTGACGTGGGATTCTCCAGGCAAGAACACTGGAGTCGCCTGCCATTTCCTTCTCCAGGGGATCTTTCCAACCCAGGGATCGAGCCCGCGCTTCCTGCAGTGGCAAGTGGGTTCTCTCCTGCTAAGCCACGAGGGAAGCCCCTGATAAGACCACACAGATTCAATAATGTCGGTTCCATCTAAATTTATGTTCCAGTTACTAGTTCTAAGTGATTTCATAAACTATCTTATAGGGGAAGAGAATATACTTAGGAACAGAGTTGATAAAAGTCCATATTTCCTGGGAGTTTCCTGAGAGTTCTCTGATGGTCCAGTGATTAGAACTTGGTGCTTTCACTGCTGTGGCCTCAGTTTCATCCCTGTCAGGGAACTCAGACCCCACAAGTCTTGCAGCGCAGCCCAAAGCAAACAATCAGTTTTTTTCTATAAAATAACTATGACCTTGGTAGAAGTGAGATTTCTCTGTGACCAACTGATGATAGTATGTAAGGAATAGGCAGCTAATTACTGATGAGGCAAAGAAAATGTTATGTACTGATTTGCCTTTTCACATATACTCAATGTTAGTGGGAGAAAAGTCAACAGAAAGGCCATCATCTGATGGTGAGTCAGACTGCTCAGATTCAGCTGTGCCTTGGCACAGAGCCGGCAGGCTGCCAGTTAAAAAAAAAAAATCAGTAAATCCTGAGCATGGAAAAAAAAATGTTGTGAAAATCTCTCAGAGCAAAAAATACACCCTCAGCTATTGAAAAAGATAAGAACAAAACACAAACAGATTCAGAAGTGTGGTAATTTGATTGCAGGAATTTAGGAAGTGTGGAAAATAAGGAAATGAGATGAAATAAGAACTAAATCTAATTATCCTTTCTAACGTATCCATATACAGAAATGAGAGGTTGGTGTTCTCCCAGAGAAAGTTCAGGTTCCCACAGATGAGTCAGAGCTGGGATTTATGCAGCAGCAGGTCCCGTAAAGGCCCATGTGGATATTTTGGTGTTCTCAGCTGAAGGATGCTTTAGAGGCGTAAAGCCGCCCAGTTCTTGAACCACTTCAAATTAAATAACAGAAAATGCCTTCTCCAACTCGCCCGACCCTGTTGACATCATTTCAGAATTCTTTAAGTGTTTCATGATGAAAAACTCTTGTGAAACCTTAACACAGTGCTTTTAATAGTATTAGTCATATTGTGTAGGACCATGGATTGCCTGTGAGATCCAGAAACTTACAATGCACTATACTTTCAGTGAACTTCCCAGGTGGCGCTAGTGGAAAAGAATTCTTTTGCAGTGCAGGAGACACAGAAGACACCAGTTCGATCCCTGTATTGGGAAGATCCCCTGGAGGAGGAAATGGCAACCCACTCCAGTATCCTTGCCTGGAAAATCCCAGGACAGAGGATCCTGGCGGGCTACAGTCCACAAGGTTGCAAAGAATTGGACACGACTGAAGCAAGTTAGCACGCACACACACACACTTTCAATAAACTCAAAAAAATCACAACTTTAAGATAGAATTCACTTTTTTTTTCCCCTCCAAAATCTGTTTTGAGTTGAATTTATAGAGATTTCAGGAGTGATGATATACTGCATATAGGAAGACATGCAAACGATTTTCCAGCTTTAACTATTTGCCGTTAACAAAGGGATTAACCTGTGATTCAGATTCCCTTGCATGGAGGAACCTGGATGGGGTCTTTCCAGAAGAAGGCTACCAACAAAATGTTGGACTGAAACCACTGTATGCAATTGAAGAGGAGAAAGAATATAAAGAAATTGCAAATGCACTAAGAAAAAAATTGTTGCGCTTCTTAAGTTCCGCTGGTAAAGTTTTGAACGAGGCATGATGGGGTGCACCCACGACCCCACCTCCAGAAGTGCAGGACCTTCACAGGCCTTTGGGTCCCCTCCCTGGATGTGGCATCTGCAGGCAGAACGTACGAGAACGAGGCTACTGTTTTCCTTTCACTTCAGGGAAAGCGCAGGAAGGGCAAGTTATTCCACAGATCCCTGGAGGAATGCCCAGTATCTCTGTGGGAACGTGTGTAGGCACTGCGCTTCCAGGGAGGAAAGAAGTTCTCACGCACGTCTCTCCTACACTCTTCTAGTCCACTCAGAACGGGGACATTCAGAAATGACGGGAAACAAACCACGGATGCGTTTCTGATCTGGCGTCTCTGAGTGCGTGTGTCTGTCCTTTGAAAGGATGCCTAAAAGATGGCTCGGGTGCACTGGATACATGGGACTGTCACTGTGTGGAACGTCTCACTCTGGGAGCCAGATGAGAAGGCGGATGCGGACTGCAAGAGGGGATGTTTCTTGGAAATCCTGACTTCATAAAGAGTATGAGAATGAAATATCACAGGCAGGATGACCAACTTTTCACTTCAGAAGCCTGATGTCCATCAGCCTTAATTGAATCAAGACTCCCTGGGCCTCCCAATGCTTCTGTGAATGAGCACATCTTACCATGAGCAGCAGACATGTTTCAAACATGATACAAAGTCCCTTTGGTCTTCCAAGGTGGTGCTAGTGGTAAAGAACCTGCCTGTCAAAGCAGGAGACGTAAGAGAGGTTTGATCCCTGGGTCAGGAAGATTACTCTGGAGGAGGGTATGGCAACCCAGACCAGTATTCTTGCCTGGAGAATCCCATGGACGGAGGGGCCTGGGGGGCTACAGTGTATGTGGCTGCCAAGAGTCAGACATGACTGAGGCAACTCAGCACACACGTGTGCACAGAGTCTCCTTGGGTAAAGGCTTTTATGTCAGCTTAAGGCATGAAAAGGGCTCAGACTATATCTGATGTTGGTTTTCCCAGTGGGACACATGGCATCCATCCTTTACTGCTCCCTGTCAACCTAGCTCCTTATAAACATCAGTAAATTAACTGAGACTCAGAAGAGAGAAGGGGTATCAAAATATAAAATTATTAGCTGTGTCCTAGAAAAATCACATCAAAACCATTCATGAAGACAGGTTTCCAGTGATGAAGTCAATGTTTCTTCACCTTATTTTTTTAATCACCAAACTCAGACATCATTATGAAAACTTTGCTTAAATATTCAATAGCCATGTTATTCAGGGCTTTCCAGGTGGTGCTAGTGGCAAAGAACCCGCCTGCCAATGCAGGAGACGAGATGTGGGTTTGGCCCCTGGGTCGGGAAGATCCCCTGGAGGAGGGCATGGCCACGCACTCCAGTGCTCTTGCCTGGAGAATCCCCTGGACAGAGGAGCCTGGTGGGCTGCAGCCCATGGGGTCACAGAGTCAGACCTGACTGAGAGATTTAGCACGCACGCATACAGTCATGTCATTCACCTCTAGTGACTCATCCAGTAATTTTCACATGTCTAGTACAGCAGTAGGTGCTGTACATAAGCTTAACTTTTAAAAGACACTGATTCACTTTGCAGTACGGCAGAGACTAAAGCGAAGTTGTGAAGCAGCTACACGACAGCAAAAACCACTGTAAAAAGCTAGGGTCATGTTTGGTCTGGTTAACAGTGTAAAAGGGAGATTAAATGTGAAGTTAATTTTTTTCTGCATCTGCCAACTACCTCTTCTCCAACTTACTTAATATTTTTTTTAAAAAAGGTGAAAGGTGGACATC